TCTGCTCGAAACATGACTAGATCCAATCATAAATTCATAAGTCAGTTTTACAGGTTTATATTGTAGGTTTCTGTTTTCTACCGGAAACATTTAAGCTTTTGAACAATGACTTGTCTTCAGGTGAAAAAATGATAAACAATAATCAACTAAACTGCTCTTATTTTGTTATTTGGATTAAGCACATTACATATTAAATTATTTACTGTTGAATTGTATGAGATATCTTTACATAAACATCTTTGCAGAAATTTGTCATGTCTGTGCTCAATTTCAAATTTTGATATAAAACTCTGTTATTGAATGATTTGCAATATCCTAGGGTAAGTGCCAAAAATGAAATTAAACCTATGAAGGTGTATTTACAAATCTGACAAAGTTAGCAGAAGCTAAAGTTCACAAAGGCTGGCTGTTTCCTGCACTCCATGGGATGAACTGAAAGAGTGAAGAGATTATTTTCCATATTATTCCTCTTCCTGAATCATACCTCAGTGCAGAATAAGGCTTGGTTTATAATGAGGATCATGTTCACAAGAGATATTGACTCAATTTGTCAGTTTCCTATTTGATGATCATGGTGTTCAAGGTGGTGATATTTAAGCATTCAGAAATACCATTCACCTTTTTCTAACATAGTTAATATTAAACACACACATACACCCAAGGAAAAGAGCCTTAAGGGCACCCTTAATATAGCAACCAGTGAATAATAATATAAGTACTACAGTCTCATCTGCTCACGCACCCAGGAATGAACATCCCCTGTGTAATTCAGATTCTATATACACATTTCTGAAAATGCTCACATTTGAAAGAGCAATTTTATAAGAGGCTCATATCTACTATATGAATAAGTAAAGCCTTCAGTATTAAATATGTAAGTAACATATGTATTAAAATCAGTCTTCAAGCAAGGAGGCCCTTTGCTCTCTGCAATAATTAGAATCTTAAAATTTAAAAGTATAAGGAATATTAACACCAAATCCCAATAAATAGTGAGAAATTCAAGCTACTACTTGAAAATTAACCATTTAGCCTTTGGTTTGGTAAAGAATTGTAAAACTTTCTCAGATAGAAGGTAATATTTTAATGCCTAATGATGCATCTGTTGTTATTGTGGTTCATCACACAGTCAGCCAAATGTTCAGACTGGATTTGGCATTTTTATCCACCTATTGAGTCCTTCCCAAGGACTTGAGAAGTTGATATTTGTCCCAAGGCAGATGTTATATTTGATGGTATTAAAAGTATCATCACCGAATGTAAGCTGTTTCAAGTAAAGCTGCCTTTTACAGCTGATGGTGATTTTGTCAATCACAGCCAGATTGATTTATCACAATCAGATGTCTTCTTTAATCTTTAATCAGAATAGAGCTAGAAGGGACCATGGAGGTCTTCTAGTCCAATCATCAACTCACGCAGGAGACTCTATATCATTTCAGACATGTGGCTGTCCAGTCTTTTCTTTAAAAACTCCAGTGATGAAGCGCCTACAATTTCTGAAGGCAAGCTGTTCCATTGGTTAATTGTCCTCACTGTTAAGAAGTTTCTGCTTAAGTCCAGGTTGTTTCTCCCATTGATTAGTTTCCATCCATTGTTTCTTGTCCTGCCCTCTGGTGCTTTTGAAAATAAGTTGACCCCCTTCTTTGTGACAGCCCCTCAAACACCGGAATACTGGTATCCTGTCACTCTTATCCCTAGAATAGCATACTCAATTCCTGCAACTGTTCTTCATATGTTTTTGTCCAGGCCATTAATCATTTTAGTTGTTCTTCTTTGCACTTTTTCCAAAGTCTCAACATCTCTTTTTGTAATGTGGTGACCAAAACTGGATGCAATATATCAGGTCTTACTAAGGCTTTATAAAACGGTATTAATACTTCACATGATTTTGATTCTATGCCTCTATTTATCCAACCAATAATTGTATTAGCCTTTTTTGCTGCTGCAGCACACTGCTGGCTCATATGTAAGTGATCTTCCACTAGGACTCCAAGGTCCCTTTCATAATTAATGTTTTCGAGCCAGATTTAGAATGTTTAGAATGGATCTGGTATTTTTATCCACTTATCCAGTCCTTTCCTATGACCTGAGATAGTCAGATGTGTATAATGGATGGTATTAGACGTAATTACAGGATGTAAGCTATTCCAAATAAAACTTTTTTTGCAATTGAATGATAGTGATTTTATTAATGCTTGTGGTATTCAATTGCTATTCCAGGTGTTTTGGAATTCCATCAAAGTGCCTCTTGGTACTACCTTTGTTTTCTTTTTCTATAGTTATTCTATTTCTAGGTCTTTGTATTTTGTTATCTTTTCCACTTCTTTCTCTTCTATTCTGCTGCCTCCAGGTTCTGCTATGTCCACTATCCAGACTTTTTTGTCTTTCTTATTGACAACTGTTATATCCAGGGTGTTATGTGGCAAGCGCCTATCTGTTTGAATTCTAAAGTCCCAGAGCAATTTAGTTTCTTCATTCTTCACTTTCTCTATTTTATAGTCCCACCAGTTCTTGCTTACAGACAGATGAAATTTCTTTCAATTTTTTATTAACTTTATTTTACTAAAGAGCATGCCAGTTGTAGAAAGGCATTCACTGTCTCCAGAAGTTGTGGGTGCTCCAACGCTGGAGGTTGTTAAGAAAAGATTGGACAATCATTTGTCTGAAATGCTATAGAGTTTCCGGATTGAGCAAGGTCCCTTCCAATTCTGTTATTCTGTTATTCAACATCCATTCTCAACAACTCAGTTGGCTATGCCTCAGTAGGGCTTCTAGTATCCTGCTAATATTAAAAGGAAGATTTTAAAAACCTATGAAAGGCAACCTAATTTTGTTTTACTAACCAGATGAAAAACAAAAGCAGGTAAATAAATTACAAAAATAAATTACAAGCAGCAAAAGTCAACTTGCCCTTTTCAGGAATCAAAAGGGAACTTTCTGTTTTCTAAAAGGCAAACAAACACTATGCATACTAAACTAGATATATTGGGCACACATCCCAAGTCAAACATTTTAATATTCCATGTGGTCCAAAAGAAGCTTTGGGGAACCAGTAGGAATAGATTTAAATGAAAACGTTCCATTACCAGTATGCAAAAATGGATTTAAAAAATATCCAATATCCAATTAAGGAGTCCATTATCAAACTGAAAGCATTTAGGTTATAATGGAGGAAATAAAATGTTCACTGGAAAAATCACAATTTATTCCTGGAGAATGGTTATTTTTAATCTATGTGGGCAGTACATTAGAATTGCTTCTAATTTGATTGCATAGATATTTTGCATTGAATAAAGATATATTGCATTGGATCTAATTATGATTAATTATTTTTGAGTTTAAAGTAACTTAATGATTGGACATTTTATACAGTGTCTAAAAATTATTATAATTCACACAGTCATATAGAATCATAATCCTTATACCATTCTGGACAAATGGTAGACCAGTCTTTTTCTTTTTAATCCAGCAATGATAGAGCACTCACAACTTCAAGAGATAAATTATTGTTTAAGAGCTCTCACAGTCAGAAAATTTTCCTTAATTCACATTTGGAGTTCTCACTGTAAAATTTGCACCCCTCTTCTTGTTTTACTTTCAGATGCTAAGTATTTCAATCTACTCTCTTTTACACCCTTCTGACATTCCTCAAACAAACTTGAACACTCAGGAAAAAGGTGGGATATAAATGCAAATATATATATATACATATATGTGTGTGTATGTATATATCTATGTGTGTGTGTTTGTATGTTGACTGGAAAGCCAGCAACCCAGGTTTGAGACCCAAGCACCACTTGAAGGGGTGAGTTTCTGTCCTTGCCCTAGCTCCTGCCAAGCTAGCAGTTCGAAAACATGCAAATGTAAGTAGATAAATAGTTACCACTTTGCTGGGAAAGTAACAGCACTCCATGATCTCATGCTGGCCACATGACTGCAGAAATGTCTACAGACAGTGTTGGCAAAATGGCCTTGAAATGAAGATAAACACCACCACCACCATAGTCAGCAATGATTAGCAGAGTAAAACTCTACAAGGACTCCTTTACCTTTTTACCTACCTGCAAGGAAAACTAACTTTCCTCAAAAAATGTACCTTTAAATATGATTATCCCGGACTTACTAACAATATAGCAATATAGAAAGCTAGTGATTTTTTAATTTTGTTTTAATCTATATTTATATATATGGTTGGTATGTGTGTGTGTGTGTGTGTGTGTTATATAGGTAGGTAGGTAGGTAGGTAGGTAGATAGATAGATAGATAGATAGATAGATAGATAGATAGATAGATAGATGTGTGTGTGTGTGTGTGTGTGTGTGTGTACGTACGTATGTATGTGTATATATGGTATATAATCATTTTTCATAAAATTTTTCATAAAACATATCTACTAACCTTTTGATAGTCTTGGCTCCAAAACCATGAGTGCAAACTCTTCATTGATTAAGAAATTTTATACGATTTCATTCTAACAGGGCCATTAAAACTTGAAAATGATCTTGTACAAATTTTTATACAAACTGTAGTCATTCCTTCTGAGTTTGGAGGTCATCATTCTAAAGCAAAGTGTTTTTCTGCTTAAATAACAAATTTCCTGAACAATAAAAGACTTCACGCTAAAGAACTTCGCAGAGATTGAATTAATACTAATTTGAGAAGTTTCCCTTTGATAATATATCTATCAAAGCCAATACCCATCCTGTCAATACATGTAAGGTAAAATCTTCATTGAGTAAAGTTTGACTGCTGGTAACTTCATTAACACATATATGTAGACCTTGACAACAATATGGAAGTGGTTTGCCTTGCCCATTTTGTGGAATTTTTGTTTTACTTTTCCACCTAGCTAGCCTATAATCCTTAGATTTCTGATTACATCCCATCCAAAAAATAATCAGGCTTTACCTTCCTTCTCTTTTTTTCAAAATCATCCAAATCACCGAGGTTTTCCCACCTGAGCTTATGAGTACATTTAAAGTTAACATTTTAACACTTACGCATTGCAGTAAGGCTTCTTTTCATATCCTTTGTAATTGTTCATATTTAGAGCCATCTTGCAGACTTCACAATGGAAACATCCCTTGTGCCAGTACTGAAAGAAAATTTGTATGGTTATAAATGGTACTATTGCCAATATTATTTATGCAATGAGTGGAGATGCTCCCTTTAAGATCTATTAGTTTTAATAACAGTAATTTTGGACAGTAGATTTCATGGTATTACAAAATAGGGCTTTTAAATGTATATGATTTCAAAATGTGGCAAAGTACCCTATTCTACTTAATGGATTGTCTGCTCATTCTACTTGGACAGAAGCCTTCTCAGCCATAGAAAATTTACTTCATGGCTTAAATCAAAAGCTGCCGATTTACAATTTACAAATGCTACTCAATCTCCTGGAACATTTTCATTCATGTTGCTGTTGACATAGCTTGTGATAATGTTGTAAAGCATTTTCAAGTATTTGGAGCGTTTGTGAACTGAAGTCAACAAAGTTATAATGGACTGAACTTTTGCTCATCCCAAATCATTTTACTCGACAATCCCAAGTCCTTGTTTTTCATTGGCTTTTTCTGTGTTCTTGCTCCAATGTACACACAAAGAATAAATACTTCGTGAAGGCCGGGATTAAATTGACCCAAATACCAGCATTTCCTTTTGTTTATTAAAGCTTCGAGCACAGTGTCTTGAAAGTGACCAGAGATATAAAATCTCCTCCCAAAACAATAGTATGCCTTTAATCTTGTAACTATCAGCCCATCATGTCTTTAATCTGCCTTCTTAAATATTGTCTACTAACTGAGCATTTTGTTACTACATTAATCAAGCCCAATGTGACTGACATCTTACTAAAAAATTTAAAAAACATTATATTATCAGGCCCTTTATAGCACATCATTATTATAGGTAGTTTGACTTTAAGGATTCTTTTTCTCCCTCACTCCAGAAAACATGGTCCCTGTTATTTTGAGTAACAGAAGGACCTGAGATTAAAATACATAATTTCTCAAGGCCCACCCCCAAACAGAAAGCATCAACATCACCCATTTATGTGAGTATTCACAGAAACCCAATGCCGACCAAAAATATGTTTATTCCTCCTTCTGGGGGGGAGGAGGCATTTCTGTCACAGCCTCATTATTTGCAAATTCCTTCAGACAATCGCACTTTTGTGATTCGCGAGCGGGCTAGACAGAAATAATTTCGCCGAGAAGGGCAGGCTCGGGAGGTGATGTACTCCTTGCCCCCACGCGAAGCTTTGCCCACAGAAGCCGGCGGGAGAGCAGGCAGCGTTACGTAACAGCTGCCGCCGAAGAAGCCCCTTCTGCATTGCAGGTCTGGAGGCGAGGAAGCCGTTCGAGTCCCAGATGAGGGGACTCACCTTTAGGACTTAGGGAGGTGGAGGGGATGCAGTCCCACAGCTTTCACATGGAAGAAGGAGGGAGGCCTTGTCTCCTCACTCCCTCTGAAGCCTATCCAGACAAGCAGGTTTGGGGGATGAGGGGCCTGAAGGAGATCCCTTGGAGCCTGACAGGGAAGATCAAGCTCGGTATAGTCCTTCGCCTCCTCCCGCAAGTAGGGCTAGCAATGCGTCAGCCGCAGGGTGACAAGTTAATTACTGAAACCAACGCCACTGCAATACTAGGTGGGGGAGGAGGCGCAGGGGCTGCCCAGGAGACTTGCTCGTCGGCTTCAGCGCTTCCGCTCATCCCCGCTCCCGCCGCAGCCCGGTTCCCAAAAGCAGAAGGAAAATCCAAGCCGGCGCAGTGCTGTTCAGCACCGGACCTCCTCTCGAGCCGCCTGGCCCGAAAGGCGCGCAGGCTTTTCTCTCTATCCATCCGCCCTTCCCGGAACCGCCGCGCAACCACGAGGCTCAACCATCTCTTCCTTCCCCACTCTCCGGTTGTCCTGGGGAGCTCGACACCAACACTTTTGCCCCCGCATTAACTGCACTACTGACATCGGGGGAAGGGGGGAAGGGAGGGAGGGAAAGAGATGAAATGGCAGTGGCGGGAGCTGCCATCCAAGACAGATGACAGGTGTCCGGTAGGAAAGGCTCTTCCCAGCCTCCGCACATAATTGCAAATGACATTCCTTTTAAGTTCAATCTCGCCCACCCCAAAGAATGCTCCTCCGCAAAAAGAAACGAGGGCCTCTAAAATGTCCCAGTTTGGAGTCCTTCTACTTCTGCACACGTAGAATCTGAGACGATGCCGGACACAGAGAGAAGGGAACGAAGCCATCCCGAATCAGTTCCTCGCCCATCCCTCCTCCCGCATGCCCGTTGGGTTCCCTTCCACCTATTCCGGCCGCCCCTCGCCCCAAACAGCAGCTGGCCCGGCCACCTGGCGCGCGCGCACCTTATCCAGGCAGTTGACTTTCTCGGTCGGGTAGACGACTTTGCCACAGCGGGCGCATTGAGGGTTCATGGTCAGTCTCCCCGCTAAGCGTCCAGGCGGAAAGAGCCGCCCAGGAGATCAGGGGCATGCCTTGCTCGCCGCAAGCGAAGGTGACTTGCCGGGGGCAGTCAGCCGGACTGAGTGGAAGGTCGGCGGCCGAGAATGCGCGGCTCTTCCAGCTGGCGGCGGCGGTGGCGGCTCGGCAGCATGTGCGAGCGAGTGGGAGGGGAACTTCTGCCTGGAGCCGCCTGCGCCAGCCTCCGCCTCGTGCTTGCGCGCTCGGCTCCCCCGCAAAGTGAGTTCCGCACTGAAGGGTCGGGCGCCTCCCTTCTCCAGGCCTCCAAGAGAGGAGTCATGGGGCCTAACCTGGCAGGTAAGTGGGTGCCGGCAAGAGAAGGTGTGCTTTTTTTAGATAAAGTTTTATTCCTGGGGGATGGGGCGACGAATACATTGTCAAAGGCACCAAAAATGGAAAGTAAGCCATTCACTCTTTATAAAAATAGGGTCATCTGTTCGCAGTTCATGCTAGAAGCGTGAGAAGTATTGGGACAACTGCTTACAATCGACATAATCATAAGTCAATAGACATAAGCCCCAGAATAAGGTATTGTATAGTATAGAAAGTAAGGAAACAGATATGTAGTGGTGAAGGGATTGGATTGGCTCAGATAAATCAGCTTTAAGAGCTCCTTCAGTCATGGAAGTTCATGGTGATTTTGGGCAAGTTCTCTCGCAACTCAACCCAATATAGAGGGGCAGTGGTGTGAGGAAAAATGGGAGGACTATAAAAGTCATCTTGAGCTGCTGAATGAAAGGTCAGACATAAATCTAGCTAAAAACACAGAGGCATCAGAAAGAGCAAATCAGTATATAGTTCAAAGTGATTGGGCAAATAAAGTAGCCTGCAATTCTATTCAATATGCACCAAATTAATGGACATGAGAAACAGCTATTTCAAATACCTCTGTCATTCTATTCTGATTAGGCTTTACGGTCTTCATCCAACTCACTTCCTGTTAAGGCACCATTCTAGCTCCTGGGCTACTTTGCCTGATTTTCTCAGCACAGAGACACAGCTCAAGCTTCCGCATTATCTCATTAATTTGGAGCAATATGGGCAACCCAGCCCTATGCAATCACAAATTGTCATTTGCAGATCCCAGGACTTCTAGGTCCATACTACCAAAATGTCATCAAATAGCAGTAGCCGAACATATACCAGCAAATTTAGACAGAGAAGCATTAATTTGTTGGATATGCTAAGTGCTGCTTAAGCTGCACAAGGTGTTTTAAAATGGACCAAAAAATATGCTGGCATATTTTTACATGATATATTTGCATCTGTGCTCTGCCTCCTGTGATCCCAGTCAGGAAAATGATTGCAGGCTCCAGCTGATAACACACGGGATATAATGAGACCTTTCAGGAACCTATAGCATAAATAGCATGGAATCAAGATAGACCTCACTTTCACTGCTAGCCATTGCCATGTAACTAATTGTGGGGTTGTTCAGTGAATCTAGTTTCCCCGATGACTTTGCATATTGGAAGCTGGCTGGGAAAGTTACAAATAATGATCACATGATCCCAGGATGCCGCAACTTTTGTAAACGTTTGACATATACCAAGCACCTAAATTTTGATAATTTGAGCACATAAATGCTGTGATGGTTATAACTGAGAGGGCCAGTCACAAGTCACTTTTTTCAATATCATTGTGACTTCTAATGGTCATTAAACAAATGACCATAAGCTGAGGACTCCATATGTACTGTAGAGAATTGGGTTCCTTATGTTAATAAGTTCCTAATGTTTCTTACCAGTCTCTACTAAGTTAGGATATTGGATTTGGCTGTTGACTTATACTGTACTTCAGTAATGTGGGCTGTATGGTGAACACTAGTGTAGTTATTTTTAATTTACTTTTTATCCCATGGGAATTGATTTGAAACAAATTTATGTCTTGAAGGTTTGCATTATTTTAAAGATATGCTGAGACCCAGAAACTCCTGCAGAAGTGTGTTTGTTTTTTAAGGTAAAAGATATTGTCAACTACTGTAGAGATTGCCTCTGCTCCTGGTGGCTTCATGGATGCATCCTTGCAGTTCCCTTAGCAACAGTGTGGAAATTGTGCATCACTGTTTCTTTCCCAGCCATTTTTTTTTTACTTCCTGGTGTCTAATAGCCCTGGGATTAGTTGGTAGTTTTCCCAAGTATAGACTTTGCTTACCTTCCAAGCCTTAATATGATTGGCCAGCTGCTGAGATTGTGCAGGTACAAAGATAAAAATCTCTTCAAGTTGAATTTAACTGTAATGATTTCATGGACATGGATTTTCTTAATAACAATATGACCACTGCCATCCTTCTCTCAAGATATTTTTTCCCTGTTTTATAGTGCTGAGATTTTCTGATTCTCTCATAGTTACAGACTGATTATAGTCAAAGCGACAACCTACCAAAGTTAGTGTTAGCTAGTGTTTCACGACCTACCAAAGTTAGCTAGGTGCAAGAGTTCTTTCCTCTGCTTCTCCCTCATTTTCCCACACCTCCATTCTTATCCTGCTGGCTATCCCACCATTTTGTGACTATTCAACTAGCAGATATTTTCCTGTGAAACCAGAAATCCAGCAAAGGGTTTCATCAATTGACCGAAGTACTTTCTTTGCAGCCAACACATTTTAGATTCCACTGGCATAACATGCACAGTGACTTCTCAACCAGCAAATCTTAAAGATAAAATTACTATGTTACATGAGACAGCTGTATTTCCTAATATGAAAGCAGCAACCTTAATTATTAGTATTTGCTATGTGAGAACATCATTGTGAATACTACAGGTCTAAATGCTGCATTAGCATTAAATCCTATTAGTCCAGCAGAAAGCATAAGGTTGTCCTGTTTAAATCATTTCCCAATTTTCTAAGTCACTGAAGCAATGGAGTTATTGTGTAATGTGAAGATTAAATTGCCTGCTATATTTTCATTTGTGATAACGAAGAGACTGAATTAGATGTATGTTATTTGCAAACTTCCTATTATATTGTTTCATCTTTTGTTCAAATCACTTGGAGTTATTAAAATGTCTGTTTTTAGTGCTGTTATTTTAATTACCGCAACTACTGAACTGAAATATTTTTGTTCTAAGCATATATATCAGGAAATGAGGGGAACTTCATTGAACTTCTGGGGTTTATTTTTTAGGTATCAAAGATTTTTCCACTTGAACATCATGGTATACCATGAAAATAAAATACTCTTAATTCAGATGTGCTTGCAGACTTTTTCATATATACTTTTATTTTTGCTTTTGCTAACCATAATGTAGTAATAAATTCAGCCTTACCAGCAAACACAACTGCTGTTACCAGGGATCAGATGCAATGCTAGAACAAATTGCTTGCTATTACTCATGTAAATCAGCTGAGGTGAAAACTAAAGGCAAAATTAGTACTTTCTATTGAGTAGCAACAAATACTATGGGAAAGATAATTTCTCTTTCAAATTGTTCATGTCTGAATACTACATAATGTACCATATGATGTAGTTAATTCGTTATTTTTGCCAGAAAGAATTTTTATCAAAGTGTAGAATATAGCCCATTATCTTTCAGTAAGGTATACAGAACACCAATCATGCTAGTTGACTTAATTCTTTATCCCATAATTTAAATTAATTTACACTAGTGATCCAGCATTCAAAAAAACATTCATTCTGAGCTTACATTTATAAAGGAAAATATTTATTGTGGTTAGATGGTCAGTTTATCTTGTTTGTGTAATGTGATGTTTTCGTATATTTTTATCAGCAGATTTGCTCATTCAAAGCATCACTAACTCTTTGAACTATGTACTGAAGATGGATTCCTTTAAAATGCCAGTAACATCTATTCATATGACTATATACTTCATTGCTTGCTTGATTTCTAGAAGTCCCTCACTCTCATTCTCACACATTATACACACACACACACACACACACACACCTCATGCAAAGTTGTTGGGACTGATATCCTAACAGGCCATCTGTCTGAGGAAACCAGAAGTAAGTGTCATAAACCAAAGAAAACAATAGGGCCCAAATGTTAAGTGATAAGGACGAGAAACAAACAAGCAAGTCATCTCCAAGGCAGCACCATTTGTCCTATAAGCCAAAGACAGATGACTCTGTGGAAGAATGTAGATTGACAAAATGACAATTTCTGAAGCAATACATTATAGCAGGGGTCTCCAACCTTGGCAACTTTTAAGACTTGTGGACTTCAAAGCTTCAAAGCTGGCTGAGTAATTCTGGGAGTTGAAGTCCACAAGTCTTAAAGTTGCCAAGGTTGGAGACTCCTGCATTATAGCAGCCCTTCATGAGTCCGTGTGACAAGTCACTCCAAACAAGCAACAAAACTCAGAACAATTACAGAAACCACCAAAAGGCTGGTCCACTGGTCCAGATCATTGACTCAGCTGAACTCGTAATCTGGGTCTATGGAATAACAAAGATCAAGAGAGCTCTTTCTGGCATCTATAAGTATGAGTATGTTGTGGTCAAATTCACTCCACTTCTTTATGTCTGGAAGTGCTGGCAATGTTCAAAGGGTGGGTCTTTGATCATGGTGCTGTGCTTTTTTTTTGTATACCCACAAACACCCAATTTGCTTCCACCTGCAAATTTTCCTACTGGTCAAGAAACACAGCATTTGGATAGCCTTATGATTGAATTCTTCAACCTTGGTCTTTAAGCCCTGCACACCAGGAAAAATTAAGAAGCAAGAGCCACACAGATTTCAGAAAGGCACCTTAAATGTGAAAACATATGAAAATTGTAAATGTAGTTTTCCCACGCACACTCAGAGCAAGCCAAGGAAGGAAATATTTTTTCCCCACCAACCCCTGAGCTGGACTGCTTCTTTTAATACCCATTAAATTCCTCCAGCTGGTTACTACAATCTCTCACACTGCATTAGTCCAGAAGCGATCCTGAAGAAAACCCTGGCAATAGTGACCTACATACTTGTCACCCTTTGGTCAGATTGCTAAATGATGATGATATGCCATCAAATTGCTATTGACTCTTAGAAATCACATGAACAGATTTTCTTCAGAATGGTATGTGCCCAGCCAAGTCTTTCACTTCTTCCAACACTGCTGTAATTGGGTCCTGGCACTTTGCTATTGGCCATTCTTGAT